CGCCTCCGCCTCAGGACGCCCGTGTGCTTTTGAAAAGGCTCCGCGCACGTCCTGGGGCTCGGGCGTCGCGTCGCCGAAACGGCCTCATGGACTCGCGCGGTGACCGTCTCGTGGCCTGTTTGGCCTTTGATTTTTCAGGCCTCTGCCCTTCTTCCACCTTGGTATTCTTTTGACTGTTGCATATTTTGAGCCTTAACGTACTTTAAAGTTGGGACGTAGTATAGTTCTTACTGATACTGAGAACTTCAGTATGAAAAAGATTTTCCCCACCCCCGCCGCAATTTGAGAATGAAAATACACCCCTCCTGGCTCCCCCTTCCCCCGGCCCTGCCGTAACTGATGACACGCTTGGGGTAAGCAGGGAGAGGCTTCAGTCCCGCGGTGTCCGCTCCCTTTGAAGTAAGCCCGGCGCGTCCCTCCAGTTAGGGCGATTGATGAGAGTCACAGGAATAGTCGTCGCCCTCTGCTGAATTCTGCTTGTGCTAAATCCGTGGTCCCCAAACCTGCCTGCACATTAGCATCACCTGGGGATCTTTAGGCCAGGCCACGCCCCAGGCCAACTACATAGCAGTATTTTTCGATGCTCCCCCAGTGATTCTTAGGTGCAGACAAGTTTGAGTGCTGTGGTCCATACTTGGCAGGTAGTGTTTCACTTAATCTCCCCGGAAATCCGACGGAGCAGGTCCTGTCGGCCCCTTGCACTGAGGCAGAGCGAGATTACATAATCTCCCTGGAGAGAGACAGCAGGTTAATGGTGGGGCCCGGACTCGAACTCAGGGAGCGCAGGCTTGATGGCTCCCGACTTGGATTTGCTTTTCTCACTGGGCGCCCCCCAAAGCGGCCCTTCCTTGCTTTCCCCGAGTCCATCGTCTTAACAGAGATGGGAAGGAGAGGGTGATGGTGGTGCCCTGTGGTGCCTTGTTCCGGAGGCCCTGGCAGGCCAGTGCTGTTTCCTAAAGCCAGGAGCACAGGCAGCCAGCCCCTCTTATTCAAATGCGGTTCCTTAACAGGTTAGTAAATCCAGGCCATCAGGTGTTCGAATGCCATCTAATGCTCTGTTCTTTAAAAGCTACTACACATCGAAAGTCAGATTGGGGTGGAGATCAGACTCCATCCCTTACTGACCGTTTTTTTTTTTTCTTGCCTTTCTGACTCTGGTTTGCTGCAGCTATAAAATGGGGGTGAAGCTTGCTCTGCCCGCTTCATAAAAACAAGGCTGTGCATGTAAGTGCTTTGGAAGCCACATAGTCTGTAAATGGAAGGTGCTTGTAGTCGCGTTGGCACAATTTGAATATTTTTCTGCGCTTTAAAAATGGGCATCTTGATGGGGTGCGAGGATGTAGAAGTCAGGAGAGGTCAGTCCTGGCGAGGGGCACATCTTTAAAGAGCTGCGGTAGGTAAGCATTCCCGAGGGGCTGGAGGGGGCAGGAGAGCAAGACCACCTTTCTTTAGGCTGGGGATTGACGTTGGGGAGATCACTTCTCGTGTGACCTTGGAACGCCCCCACTCCTCATTCTGGCCTTCCCAGTCAAGCTCTGACTGTCCGTTAGCCTGGAGTCTCTTGTTCAGTTCCTGGCTCTGAGCCTGAAGAGAAAGATGAAAGGAGACTGTGAGAGCAGGGCGCACCGTCCTATCACCTCCATCCTTCCCTTTAGTGAGAGGATCTTCTAGGAAGGATGCCCCCTCAATACCTCATGTCCTTTGAAAGACCTAATATTATCCTAGGGCACCCAGCTCTGGTGTAACATTTGGGAGTTTTTATTAGGGCCCTTTGACACTGGAGAATATCCAAGGTGGGAACCACTTCCCTGTTCTGCTGAACTAGTTCATTAAATTAATATAGATGAAGAGTGTTTATTTTTATACCCAGGAGTTCCATTTTCAGGTATCAAGGAGAAATAGAACTCAAGAGTTACTTACTTACTTACTTAATCCTCACTGGAGGATATGCTTATCGATTTTAGAGAGAAACATCAGCCACCCATGCTCCCAGGGATGGAACTCGCAACCTGCGTATGTACCCTGACCAAGAATCGAACCCAATACCTCTTGGTATACAGGACGATGCTCCAACCAACCGAGCCACACCAGCCAGGGCTGAACTCAAGAGTCTTTAATAGAAGAAAGCTCTTCTGACAGAAATAGTCAGTGGCATAAACACTGTCAAAATTTTTGGTTTTGAGCAGTTACAATCTCAGACTTTTAGGATTTCTTACTAATAAATATCTGTTCATGTCACTGCCTCCTTTTAAATAAAGCCTGTTATTTCACCGTTGCCAATAAGAAAAGGTCAGAATTTCACATCCTGCCCTTTCATGTGTTGGCTCCAACTGTTATTTCCAGCCACTTGTCAGACAACTCAGCTGGTCCTCCTTCCTGGACTGTCATCTTTACCTATGACACCATCAGAGAAAATGAGTAAAGGATTACTCCTCTCTTCCTTTTTATACTTGGACCCTCCCCACACCCGCCTTAGTACACTTGAGTTCCTTGGGGTCAGGGACTCATTTGTATTTATATCCCTAGTGCCCTGATCTAAAAATTAAATTGTCCAAATGTAATAAGGTAAAATGCTCCTATATTGCTTAGAGGTGCATAGATTTCATTTTCCCATTGCGTTTTAGTATATTTCGTATTTTTTTACTCCCAAGGTAGAAATAGGTAACTGTGAGGAGTAGAAAGCATTTTCGACTGTCTTTAACAGGGAGCACATTCTCGCAGGATTGTTTACATAGGTTCCTTTGGCTGGGCTGCCCTTGCTTAGGCCGAGCAGCACCTAAGGAGTGTATGTTCCTGGATTTTGGATAATTGCTATAATTGTTGACCAAGTACAGTACCTAGTACTTCGATACCTAATAAAAGTGAAACCTACCCAGTTTTCTGGTTATTTATTTATTTATTTGTGGCCCAAGTCTTTATAAGACATTAAGTAGTAAACAGGTATACATAGGTTATAATAAATAACTTTATTTCCTCTTTTTTGTGTTTTTTTGGATAGATAACAAGTTGCTGGAAAAGTCAGATCTTCATTCAGTGCTGGCCCAGAAGCTGCAAGCGGAAAAGCCAGATATACCCAACAGGCATGAGATAAGGTATTTTGAAACTATCCTGTATAATTTGTACCTCCTCCTGAATTGAAATTTGTCTCAGTTCACTTCTCTAATTTAGAAGCAAACCAAGTACTGTTTCTGTGCTCCAGTTTTTGTCAGCTCCTTTCAGATAAGATGCTGAAGCCGGATAATTAAACTAATTTTTTCAAAGGTACTGGCCTACCCACCTTGAAGGGTTATCGTTAGTAAGATGCTGTAAACCAGAGAAATTTTCTAAAGGCCAGTAACTAGGCCAGTTCCTCCTCCAGCCGGTCAGGGTTCACAGTTTCTAAATAATCAGATAAGTAAGCATTCCTGAGCAGATTTACATAGATCTTGTTAATACAGGATTTCCATAAGTTGCTTTTTCTACAAAACAGATCTATTTGATTCTTTTTAGTTCAGTATTTTTCAACATATTTTAGTAGATTGTGAAACTAAACTAACAGGTTGCAACAAACTTTTTTTTTTTTAAGAAAGATTAGGAAAATAGATCTGTGTTTTTATAGGAAGGGTGAGTATTGTCTCATTAAATGTGCATATATGTGTTCTTCATGGGGGTGTAATGTGTTTACTTGGGTCATTTACCTAAACCATATTTCTTTTTGAGCATCATGGTCTAAAAAGCTGAAAGCCATTCTTCGTCAAAGCAGCATAAATGGAACCATTCTAGAGTCTTACTCTCTTCATATGTTCATGTTGGCATATTAAATTTGATGGTTTGTATGGGAACAGTACCCATTATTGCTCTAAAATTCCATTCTTATTTGCATATTAGTTCACATTTAGCAATTTTAAGAACAAGGTTGATGGTAATTTGGGATTTTTAAAAATCCCAGAAGTGCTAGATGTAACTTAGTATCTTTACCTTCTATAACTGAATGGGCTGTGAAACTGCTTGCCATCCATGTTTCCTCACCTGGCCAGATGGTCTCCTGGCAGGTCAGAGTGGGAAAGATGAACAGATGGCCCGTCCCAGTTTCCATCCTTGTTCAATAACAGTGCAGCAGAGTGTGCCTGGCTAGACCCTAGGAGGCCTTCTGTAGTATTGAAAAGACTCAATGCTCTGGTCAATTTTAGGTGTAAAGAATGCCATTTCACCTTTTTCATCTAAAATCAATCAGTTGAAAAGTTTTAAACATTTTATTTCTACCGGGCTAGATTCTTGGTGACTATATTACTGTGTTCTTTATATAGTCAGTTAAACTCATTTGCTTGGGCAGGAACTATAAGTAAATGTAGCACAATTATTTTGGCTTAATGTCACAGGGGTGGTCATTTGATTTGGGGTCTTTCCTTCCCCTCAAACTTGTGTCCATAATCAGCCTTTCCTGACTGCCTCCATCCAGCTATTTCCCATGAGTCATCTATGGTTCCCTTTTCCCTCAGTACCCTGCCCCTCCCCGTATAGTCAGTTCCCTGGGACTGTGATTCTTCCCACAGTCCCTAGTGCATCTGTCCCTTAGTTTACATTTGTTCCTAGTGCATCTGTCCTCTTAATTTACATTTATTTTACCCCCCTACATTTGTTATCCTTCGTTTCATTCCTGCACTGTGGCAGGAGTCTTCTTCTGCACGGAGATATTGTGTGGCTGCGGTGTGAGCCAGGTGTTAGGGATACAGAGACAAGCCAGGGTCCCTGCTCTTAAGGAACTGGGTCTGGTAGGGGTGACCTATTTGGGGGTGTTTGATCATGTGATAAGTGTTTGCACAGAAGATGGCTACCTGATTGGTTTTGTTTAAAAAAAAATCAAATGAGTAAATTTGAAGTTCTGATTGGATTTATTAAGCAATTGTGAATCTGGCAGCATCCCATCTAGCAACTAGGAGGGCCCTCCAAGAAGTTGTACAAAATGGGAGGTTTTCATAGGAAGAAGGGTGGGGCAAGGGAGTTTCTAACAAAAGAAAAGAAAGAATTGTTGCCCCTCCCAAGGGTTTTTATCATGCAGATCACCTCTTTCTATGGGGAGGGAGAAAAAGGGGGTGCAGGTAACAGATTACTTCTTTTAGTGTTGACCAGAAACTTCTGAACTGGTTGATTAATCTGGGAGAGTTTGAAACTGTAGTTAGACCAGGTGTTAAATCTAGTTTTGGGATTATGGGCTTTTAGTACAAGTGAAGCCATTTTGGGCTTATGGTTTTTCTCTTGAAATTTCCTTCTCCCTCCTGTCTCCTTAAATCCTGCCCATCTTGTCCTAATTAATCTTAATAGAATTGTACACTTGAAACCTATATAATTTTATTAACCAGTGTCACCCCAATAAATTTAATACAATTTTAAAAACACCTTAAATAGCTTTATTTACATCAGTAATCTGGTTTCCCTCTTAAGTGTTTAATCCCTTTACTTACTAAATAGATTACAATTAAACTCTTCAGTCTGGACGTAGTGGATTCCAGCAGTTTTCTAAGTATGCTGCTTGGGCAGCAGCATCTGGGAGATCGTTAGAAGTGGAACGCCTTGGGCCTTCATGCAGTTACTTGTTTATTGTCCATCTGCTTGTAACTGATTGTCAGCTGCATGAGAGTGAGCTCTGCCCTGCCTTCTCCCGGCTCAGGAGCAGCACCTGGCCCGGGGTTGGCGATCACATGCTTGCCTCCCCCACAGCTACCTAACCTTCACTCTGGAACTCACACCTTATTCCTGACACACTGGTGGTTTGGGTGGTGGTTGATCTCCTACTTTCTATGTCAGGGCATAACTACACTTTCCTGGAAAGACTGACCGCTTTATTGGCCATGTTGTCATGTTCATGTTGAAATTCTGGAGTTACTGTTCCAGTGCCTGATTGAGGAGCCTGGAGTCTGATTTTTCTTTCCCTCTTTTTTTGCACATTCTCATCATCTGCCTGCTTGGGGACTTAGTCCCGGGCACGATGGGGCATGGAATGATGGTCAGCTCCAGGAAATGGCCCAGCTGAGGATGAGACACCAGGAAGAACTGACTGAGTTGCACAAGAAACGAGGCGAGGTAAAGACGACCGCCCTCCGAACCTGTCTGTGCTCTGTGTGGGTCTTATAGTGGGGAGGATAGTGGGCAGGATTTCCAGGAGATTGCAGCTGTCCTGGTTATACGTAACATCACCGGCTGTATCTGTGACAGTGAAACAACGGGAAAGGTGTGAGGGCTTTGCCTCCATCAGCAGGAGGGCAAGCCATTGACATAACTGCCCAGTTGTCATGCTCCAAAAGGGCATGAAAGGTACAAGTGGAGAAACTTTAAAGGAAGAAGCTTTCTGCTTGGTCCACTGAAGGTCCTACTAGCATCTTCCCAAAGCTTCTGAGAGAACTCACAGAGGCAGATAACACATGGGTGGTTACCAGAGAGGAAGGGGTAAGGGAGTCATGATGGAAACTGGACTTGGTGTAGTATATACAGATGTCAAATTATATATATAATGTTGCACACCTGAAACTGCTATAATGTTATAAACCTGCATTACCACAATAAAGAAAATAATTTTTTAAAAAGCTTTTGTGAGAGAATCCTGAAATTTCAGGAAGAATCATTAGAATCAGGTCCTGGGCTATATTTACCCTGGATGGTATTGTGATGGCAAATTATGAAAAAATACAATACAATTCACAAATCAGCTGAATTGATCATTTTATCAGCTAGAGTCTGAAAAGGTAGCTGGGGTAAAGGGCTAGACAGGGTCCTTAGCAGGAACTTGGCAGTCACCTAGAGCTCTGCTCATCCACCCGAGCCTGCCTTCAGCAGGGACTAGCATGCCGTTCCCATGAGCATCCCCGTGGCCCTTCAGCTCCTCTCCACTACCTAGCTCATTTCTTCCTGCCTTGGCTCAACCCCACAGGCACCTTTTCTTCCCTAAAAATAAGATAACCCACTGTTTTAGTTTTCAACCGAGGTCCTAAAGTCTCTTATTTATAAAAGTGTTCTTCTTTATTCCACAGTTAGCTCAGTTGGTGATTGACCTGAACAATCAAATGCAGCAGAAGGACCGGGAGATGCAGATTAATGAAGCAAAGTGAGTAGGGACAACACTTTCTTTGGGACTAGATGTGGGATCACACCCATTTTATTTACTGTACTCTTATGAGCAGGGCCAGTGGTGATCGGTGGCAATGATAGCCACATTGGATTCAGCAAGTTTCATTTTTGTGCATGTGTAGCATTTTTCCTGCTCTAAAGATGGAAGAGGCAAGGATAGTGCCCTCAGTCTTTCAGGTTCCCAGCATGCTCCTGGGAAGTACCTTGCAAGTGTCCCTGGGCCACAGTTCTTGCCATGACCACTGGGTATGGGAGGTGGTGTCTTCTATGGTGAAGGTGAGGCCAAGATGTGAGTGTGTGGCCCTTGAGAACAGGGATGAGTTTTTGGGCAGCATTATTCTTGATCAGGGAGAAGCCTGGCAGACAAGATAAACAGAGACTCAAGCCTGAGTTTCATCTGTGCTTTTTTCCTTAATGTGCAGAGAGGGGTCTTTAGAGGTTTAGAAAGGTGGGAGACTTTCTTAGGCATTCTTGGTCAAAGAGTGATAGAGCTGGTGGAAGACACAGGATTTCCAGCCTCTTAATTCCCCATTGACCACTCAAATTAAGCAACAAAAGCTCCCCCTTAAAGTCCTGTTTCTCCGAAAGGTGCTGTAATAGTTGCTTATTGTCTGGATGACTTTGACCCCAGATGCTGCTTTTCCTAATGGGTTTGTCCTGCAGACCTTGGGGCTGGGCTTGGCTAAGTGAGGTGGAATAACAGTGAAGTCTCCCATATGGTGCCTGGTGTGGTGCTGAGGTCATTGCTGGTGCCCAAGCTCATGCGGCCGGAGCACCCTGTGGGTCCCCTGGCCCGTGCACAGCGCCATTCCTCCCCTGCGTGCCATGCTTTCAGGATTGCAGAGTGCTTGCAGACTATCTCTGACCTGGAGACAGAGTGCCAGGAACTGCGCAGTAAGCTGCAGGACCTCGAGACTGCCAACCAGACCCTGAAGGATGAATACGACGCCCTGCAGATCACATTTACTGCCCTGGAGGAGAAGCTTCGGAAGACTTCAGAGGAGAACCAGGAGCTGGTCACCAGGTGGATGGCTGAGAAGGCCCAGGAAGCCAATCGCCTCAATGCCGAGAACGAAAAGGACTCAAGGTGGGAGTCCATGCACAGCCGGCTGGTTCCTTGGACCTAACTTGGGACCTGGGTCTTTGAGAAGGGCAGCAAACCTGGTGGCTCTGCCACAGGCGGGGAACCAGGACACATTAACAAAGTCCATCTTGAGAGTAGAGGTTGCCATTGGCAGCACTAAGATTTTGCCACAGCTGAGGCTTCTGGGTTCAGCCCTGATCTCACATGTGAAACAAGAATAATGGGACTTAACCTGAGAGCATTGCTTTGACGACTGAGTTAGAGCCTGTGAAACAGTACACCTGAGCCAGGCACAAGTAAATGCTAAGTAAATCTTAACTATCATTACCCATGCCCTTGGTATGTCGGTGTGAGACTGTTGGCTGCAGGAAACAAAGTTTCCGCCGTGACTGCGCTGGATTCACCGGACCCACTCTCCTGTCCTGAGCGGCCTGGGCAGGCTTCTCTCTTGCTGTTTCACTGCTTTCTCTAGTAACAATCCTGTCTCCAGGCCTTGCTCTGAAGGCCTTTATAGTGGCATCTTGACCCATGTTACCCTATGGATTTGGGACTTGGGTGGATGTCTTTGGTCAGGGCAGTTGTTATTTTGAATGCACTGAATACTTAGATGTATTATGAGAGCTAGTTTATTGAGAGCCAAAGCCCTATGGTTTTTGTTTTGTTTTGTTTTAATATATCTTTATTGATTTCAGAGAGAGGAATGGGGGAAGGGAGAGAGATATAGAAACATTAATGATGAGAACATCATTGATCGGCTGCCTCCTGCACGCCCCCAGCCGGGGGTCAAGCCCACAACCCGGGCATGTGCCCTGACCAGGGATCAAGCCTCGATCTCCTGGATCCTCGGTCAATGCTCAGCCACTGAGCCATGCCCAGCCCGGCCCCGTGGTTTTTTTAAGCAAATGTAAGCAATGTGCTTTTTTTTTTAATAGGAGGCGGCAAGCCCGGCTGCAGAAAGAGCTCGCAGAAGCAGCGAAGGAACCTCTACCAGTAGAGCAGTAAGTAGAGATATGCAAATCAAAACTATGCTCTTAATAATTAGATTCACTCTAAGTAATTTTTTTTTAATTTCTGTATAACCGTTTCGTAGATTGTTGAAAGAAATGTAAAAGATTGAAGGAGACATTTACTTTACAGGAAAGTGCTCCTCTTTATGCCCCTCATGCACGGTGAGCTCTAACATCCTACACCCCTAGCACGCAAGCCTCCTGTTTTCCCGTTGACACCGACCCATTTTCTCCCCCTGGTTGGGGCTGTTGCCATGTAATGCTGGGTGGGGTTCTTTGTCTTACTCTCTTGGTTTGTGGCTTTAAGTGGACATTTGGGCACAATTTTGAAGCATAAGCAAAGACGGATCTCTTGGAACAAAAGGAATTGAATCACTTGGAGATTTTCCTAATCTGAGGGTGGGTGGAGAATCTTCCTTGAGGCCCGGAGCTGTGTTTTGAGACTACAGGTGTTTTCATGACTGAATTCCTCTTGCTCTGGGTCAGGACGTGCCCTTTTCCTATTGAATTGTGCTCTGGAATATGGCATTAAAGTGGTACTTCCTAGAGTGGAGGGGAATGGTTTAAAGTCAGTTAGGAGCCATCTAGCAGACAAATGCGGTCTTAATTTATAGGAAATGAGAAGGTTCTCACACCAAGCCTTTGCTTTAGATGTGGAGTGGACATTTCTTCTGTTCTCTCAGATGCAGCAAATGAACCTCATGCATATATTCCAAAAACTACAAAGTAAATAAATAACTGACCTGAAAATGAGGTTTGATTTTATTTTATTTTTTAATATATCTTTATTGATTTCAGAGAGAGGAAGGGAGAGGGAGAGAGATATCGAAACATCAATGATAAGAAAGTCGTCACTGATCAGCTGCCTCCTGCACGCCCCTGACTGGGGATCAAGCCTACAACCCGGGCATGTGCCCTGACCGGGAATCGAACCGCGATCCCCTGGATCCTAGGTTGATGCTCAATTGCTGAGCCACGCCTGGCTGGGCAAGGTTTGATTTCTTAAAAATAACAGCTTACAAAGTGTCATTTGTCCACCTCCTGTTTGCCAGCATAAACAAGTGACTAGGTGTGACATGATTTAGACAGGTTGAGCGTCCTGCCCAAGGTCACACAGAAGCAGCTGAACTAGGATGCAAACCTAGGGGTGTCTGACTGGCAAGGCCTGCTGGTCTCTGTGCTTCCCTTAGAGAGGAGTTTCTGGGGAAAGGACATTTACATCTTTGGAGGGTTTTGCTAACCAGCTGCCAAACCCTGGTATTTTCTCATGGCTCTGGGCCTTTGCAGGGTTCTGGACACCTTCATGGCTATAAAATTCTACCCTAAAGCATTTACATAGGCTCAGCTCATGTTTGCTACTCTTGCCATCTCTGCTGGTCTTTTGTTGCCTTTGTGTGAGCACAAGTGACTCCGCAAACCACACAGAGGAGAGAAAGTCCAACCTTGCTCTCTTTCTTCAGACTGCCTCTGCTTCCCTCTCCATCCTGGCCCAGGTTGGGTTCAGTTACACTGAACTCTAGCAGCAATAGCCAAGGAAAATAAGCATACTTTGGCTTGGTTTAACTTGCTTGATAACAGGTTCTTACGTATGTATTTACTATGTTTACTTAACCCAGGTAATCCTGGAAAAATCTTGTTTTGAAGCTCTTACGAATCCAAAAATTAGGTGATATAATCTTGAGTTATTACATTTTATTATTTTACTTTTCCATGAAGTTTGAAACTTGGTAGGAGGTCATTAAGACCAAAATAATTACAGAGGGACTTTCGCACCTGTGGGATAAGCAGTAGCAAAGGAGGGTGTGCCTAGGACTTAATGACTTCGTGTGAAATATGATGGGCGCCCCAAATGTCAGGAGCATAGAGTACTTAATTTTTATATATTTTTATTTTTAAAAAATCTCACTGGAGGATGTTTGAGTTTAGAGAGAGGAAGGTGGGGATGGGGGAGAGAGAAACATTGATCAGTTGCCTACCGGGCACTCCTGACAGGAGATGGAACCCACAACCTGGGTATGTGCCCTGACCCGGAATTGAACTCACAGCCTTTTGGTGTGTGGGACAATGCTCCAACCAACTGAACCACCCAGCCAGGGCAGGAGCACTGAGTATTTTAAACATAAAATACCCAGAGTCGAAACGAATTATGTTTAGATTTTGCTTTCCTGTTTTTTATATTATTAAAGTAAAATTTTAAACAGTTGTTAAGGCAGCTGTTGATTTCATTCCCCTTTGATGGGTCCCTTTTCTTATTCACCGGGACTTCGTAGCTGCCCCTGCTTATCCTCTGTGCCCCTCTGCTCATCTTGGGAACTATTTACTGGTTAGTACAGTTCAGTTTGGGGGCAGGAGGCCTTCAGCTGCACACTAGACTTCTGGTGGAAAGAACCTACCTTTGTGCTGATTGTGGTTATGGACTTAATAAACCATGATTTGCTTTCCAAGGGGAATCTAAAAGGATCAAAGGCTCAGTTTTAAGATTCTTTTCAGTTAGAATTCTCAGTTTGATTTGGACAGGTTGAATATTTGTTTTAGTATCATTTTGAAAACGGGTGGGGAACCTTTATTCTGGGCATTTATCAAGGACATTTGGATATTTATAACATTCACAGGGCATACAAAATTATCAACTTAAAAATTAGCTATGAGAAAAGTTCCTAGATTTATTGAATTTCGAGTCCCACCTGCAGTTGCCTTGGCAGGGCCAGACCAAATGATTTGTCCTCTGGGTGGGACATTCCCCACCCTTGGTTTAGAGCATGGCAGCTCCTTTTCCTCCAGAGAACCCTTAACCATCACTGTCCTAGCGAAATCACACAGGTGGTGTATGACTAGTAAATGATGTTGACATTTGTAGAACAGACTCATCACAAGGCTCCTGTTGAGCAAAATCAAAGACTCTCCCTCTTGCCCTTCTTTCCAGGGATGACGACATTGAAGTCATTGTGGATGAAACCTCTGACCACACCGAGGAGACCTCTCCCATGCGAGCCATTAGCAGAGCGGCCACGTAAGTAGGCGGGTGTGGCCATGAAAGGAGAACTTGGGCGCAGTTTCGTGGAGCATGTTGTGGTCCTGACAGAGCAGTCTGGTGCCCCCAAACCTCTCTGCTGGAGCACTGGCTCCTCTTGAATAGCCACAGAAACAGTGGGCTCCACAGTGTCCCCATCTTGCACTCTACTTAACGGGAGGCAAGCTGTCGTCACTTAGTGCTGCCGCCAGCTGTGAAGGGAAACAGAAAAATGTTCAGTGGTTTCCTAAAAGATAAATAGTTCAACCTTGTTAGGTGGGGTGATTTTTCTGTTGTTGTTGTTAATCCTCACTTGATATTTTCATTGCTTTTCAGAGAGAATAGAAGGGAGAAAGAGAGAAACATTGGTGTGAGAGAGACACATCGACTGTTTGCCTCCCACACGTGCCCTGATGGGGGGAGGGGCAGGGAGTGAACCCAAGACCCTTTGGTGCACAGGCCAATGCTCTAACCATTGCAGCACACCGGCCAGGGCATACTGTTTCATTTTTACTTGGGCTCCAGGATTCTTTTTATTTGGCAAAGCAGGACAGCAAGAATGGGGTTGGCTATTAACAGCCAAAAATTGCTAGGTCAGTTAGACAGTTTCATTGTGAAAAGCATTATTGCTAGGGAAGTTAATTTAAAATTAGGGAACCTTGTGTTTTTTGTTTTTTTGTTAAGTCTTATTTGAGGATATTTTTCCCATTGATTTTTAGGGACAGAGGGAGGGAGAGA